AAAAAATGGATCCCCAAAGCCTCAAGTTTGCTTATCCTGCTACAAAAAAGATCTAAAAACATAGTTTGTCAGGGATTTTTTTTTTTAAATGATGGACTAGTTTGGGAGGGGCAGCTGAGAACGAGGGCTGAATTCTTCCCCGTCCATTCCTTTACTAGATAAACTGCCGTTCAAGATATTTTTCTCTTATTAACAACATTGTAATTTTTAACAGCGTCGTGGCCCTCTTTGAAACGCATGTGTAATGTGTAGTTCGTCCCTCGATCCTGCTGAAATTAATGGAGCACCAGGGTGCTCAAAAATAGGACGCTTTATCATGCCTATGCCTGTCTGGATTGCTCTCACTATCAAATCTGTTTTTGTAATCATAAAAGAAAAGAAGCTGCTTTTTTAAAAAAAAAAGAAGAAGAAGAAGATTCACAAGAATCTGTGTCACATACCAGAATCTCAGCAAAAGATGAATTGCTTCAATTATATAACTCCTGCTACTTCCCAAAACGGAAGAGAAAAATGTGCATTCTCCAGATGGCTGAGCGTACCAAAAAGATCAATTGCTTTTTGATCAGCTTTTGGAATTAAGAAAACACACGCGTACATCCTAGCGAGGGGAATGAGCTTTTCGAGGCATTGCCCGTCCCAAAAGGCTGAAAGAAGGAATCCAAACCTATTTGCCAAGGCGAGAGAAGGCAAAGTCCCAGGGAACTGATGGCATTTTAAGAGTTTAGTCTCCGTGCCTGCTGGGCAGAATCGCTTTTTCAGCCCAATTCTCGTCTTGGACCAAACGGAATTTCCGAACGGGTAATCAACACGCTGTGGCTTAAGCAGACCAAGAAAATAAAGGCGGAAGTCTTAGCAACATGGCTTAAGATCCATACTCATAAAGCCACTTGTCTCCGGTTCAAACTTCAGGATCTGCAGGGAAGCCTGAAAAAATTCTCTTGTTTTGGAGCGGTGGGGAGCCACCACCGGTCAGTCACTGACTTCCTAAATAATATGCAACCCTTTAAACTCAACGCACGAACCTGGTTACTGAAAGCAGCACTCGCAATATGCTAATCATAACACTAACCATAATCATAGTACCTGATTATGATGAATAACCATCTTAATAAGCTGATAAGGTCCTTGTAATCTGTCTCGCGTGTAACCTCGTCGGCATAACCAACCGCTCTTCCCCATCCTTCCCCCGGCACATCGCAATTTAATTCTTACATCAATCTGGCCTTTCCCTGCATTGGAGGGAGGGAGCTGCAGCTTCTGAAAGCTGATGCCTTTGAATAAAATCCGTGGGCCAGAGAAAGGGCTACCCAAGGCCTTTTGGTTTTTGGCTACCAAACGCAGCTCTCCTCCTGCAATGAAAACAACCCTGAGAAGGATGTAACTGCTCCGAGATGGGGCCGTCCGGCAGCTTCCAACAGTTTGGGGGTGGGAGGTCTGGGAGTGACAGCTTCCCCATATCTGGGGGGCACCAATTGAGGTTGGAGAAGAACCTGGAGGGGAAGAGAACCTAACACTGCTGGAGGACTTAAGGCAGTGTTGTCCAAACTTGGCCACTTTAAGATGAGTGGACTTCAACTCCCAGACAACTCCCAACTCCACGGCTGGCTGGGGAATTCTGGGAGTTGAAGTCCACTCATCTTAAAGTGGCCCAGTTTGGACAACACTGCCCTAAGTCCC